GTGAGTCAATGCCGAGGTCTCACTCTAGGTTCCCAATTGATTTCTTCTTTGAAGGCTTACAACTGTTGTTTAAAACTGTTCCCAGAACATAATGAGATTCAATCGAGATAGATGACTCACCCTGTATAGTGTGTTTAATGGAGGGTATCAAAATTGTTTCAAGTAATTTTCTTGTAAATTGAAATTTCAATTAGTGTCACGTCCCGTGATTTAATGACCTATGAATTGACGTGTCAATCATTCGGTTGACGCGCAAATTGTTTGTGTCTTTGGCTAATTTCTAATTATCATGTTTAATCAGTGTAATAATCTGTTTCAAAAACTGTGTATATAAATATGTATTTTGGACGAACACGACTTTTATCTACACGCCTACATAGGTCTCGTCAAAATAAAGCAGTTTACATAAGCCGATGCTTTATACTTATTAGTATTTTTAGAAGGCATGACACTTTTATACCTACCGTCCCTATTAAATTACGAAATAAAACACGGTGCGCTTATAAATTTCCCAGATGCAATTTTATAAAGGTGCATCTATTTATAGAAATATAAACAGATATTTGATACGATTCCGTCACGCTTTAAATAAATGCAAATACCAAAAATTTCATTTAACCGATAGAAAGATGCCACAGGGTCCAGAAGCAAGGAAAACAGTTTCTACGTCAATTTTAATTGAAGATGGAATACTTTATGGGACGCGTCATTAATGTGACCTACGACAATTTTTCTCTTTAAATGTTAAGAGATGACGTTGAACGATAATATCAATACTTACTGAGGATCCGCCACCCCCTTGTTTTGTAACCAACTTCAAAGAATGAAGGAGTTAGAAGAAAATAAAATAAATTAGACAAGTTTAACTTAAGTAGTCCAGCCGACACTTCATCAATAATTAAAACCATCAACCATTAAAACCAAAATTAAGGTAATCCGAATTCACCGAAACGTTTCCAGTTGTCGCATGGGAAACAGCTAAGCTGATCAAATTTTATATCTAATTAAATTTATTGTGCAAAATATTATCAACTTCATTTTTTTAGTAGTTTACTTATGTAGATTTAGTTGATGATTTTACTATTATTAATAACCCGGCTGGACTACTTTAAAAAGATTTATTAGTTCTCAGTGAAATCGTTTTGTTCGATAGCGACTATTATAGAGAGAAATACAAAAGTTATTACAGGATGTCGGTCATCGACAGAACGAATTAAAAACCTTATCAAGGGAAACTTATCTTTTGTGTTTTATTTTCTTCTTATGACATAAACAATAACAAGATCATTTGTTTGAGTAATTTTATGGATAATCTTAAGTTGCTTTTGATGGTTTTCGCCTCATAATTTTAAAGACTCAGTCGGTACAAGATCAAAGACGAAATAATTTTATTACGAATTCATATATTATGATATACAAGTGTATGTGTGAGCCAAGAAAAATGTAAATTTAGACTTTCATTGATTAATTATATAACAGCAGTTACTGCCAAGCGTTTGTCTAATATTAACAGAAAAAATTTCGAAAACACGAAAAATGTGACAAATATTGGAGGTGTTAAATGAAATGATGGAAATACAAATTTTTAAAACGTGGTGACACTTGTATACTATACATACATATATCCGAGCAAGTCATACAAATGCAAAAACGCCATAAATGTATTAGTGTCATTATTAACATCATCACAGGGTCGTCAATCGTAAGATTCGTTGGACACACACCTCCACTCTTTCCTATCCTGAGTTAATCTTCGCGTTTTCCCAATACGATACTACGGAATCCCACATCCCTTACTACTTTGGAGTAGTAATCTAATCTTGGTCGGATGCATTCTGATTGTTAACTGTGGCATATGGTAAATCTACCTTGGACCAAAGCAACGTTTATCGGTTGTTCTCAGAGAGTCAAGAAGATGAGGACGGCGAAGAGCGTGCCCGGACGCCCGAACACGTCAACAAGAGGCAAAAAGTGATGAAGTGAAGAAAATAGTATTGACCAATCATCGAATCACTGTTAGAGAAGTTGCTGAGGACCTAAACATATCGATTGGCTCCTGCTATTCGATTTTTACCAATGGTTTTGGCATGAGACTGGTCGCCGCGAAATTCGTACCAAAATTGCCCAATTTCGACCAAAAACAGCATCGCATTAACATTGCTAAGGAGCTATTGGACTCTGTCCGCGACGATCCAAATTTGCTCCAGGGCTTGTTAAGTAACTGGTGACCAATCCTGGGTTTAAAGTTATGATGTGGAAACCAAAGCTCAATCATCCCAATGGAAGCTGCTGCACGAGCCAAGACCGAAAAAAGCGCGCCAAGTTAGGTCGAATGTGAAGATTTTGCTTAGAGGTTTCTTCGATTGCAAGGGCGTGGTGCACCATGAGTTCTTGCCACAGGGTAGGACGGTCAATAAGGAATATTACCTGCAAATTATGCCTAATTTGGGTGAAGTAATCCGCCACAAACGCCTGGATTTGTAGAAGAATAGAAATTGGCTTTTGATGACGCTTCTGCTTACATCGTTGCTTGGGCAACACACTAACCATACCGCAGCCACCGTATTTCCCCGATCTCGCCCCCGTAAGTTTTTCTTGTTCCCCAAAACCGAAGAGTCTCATGAAAGAAGGACGCTAGGCTACGATTGAGGAGATAAAGACGGTATCGAAGGAGAAGCTGAACAAGATCACAAAATGATGCTTCAAGGATTGGTTAAAACATTAGCATTAGTGTATAATATCTGGCGAGAATTACTTTGAAGGAGACAAAATAAATATTCATAAATAAATAAATAATTTTTGAAAAACCAGAAAATTCCCGATACTTTTTGAACATACCTCGTACATACCCTTACTGCCTACTGCTCCTTCCATTCCGAATTACCTGACTTCCTAGTTACCGAAAATCATCAACTTTCTCCAATTTTTCGTCTCTTATCTTTATATTAATTCTTTTACTACTTTTTCTTTCCTTGCATACCTACCAACAGTTTTGTTTTTCTTACTTATGGCTATCTGTTTTATATACGAGTGAAACAACTTAAAATTAAATATGATTTAGAGGATATGATTTTGCTCAGCGGCGGACTAAGTCGGGTCCTGGGAGGCCTCCGAATTTCGAAAAGTCCTTTTTAAAGAAATTACAAACTAGGCCAAAATTTTAGGGACAGACCTTTGCACTGATAAAAACATATATAAATATATATATATACATATATTGATATAAGTATTGATCAGAAACATGTACGTATTGACAGATACAGGTGGGTGTTAGCTATACAGATATTGACAACTCGAACAAGTGATTCATTTATATTTTCGTACTAGTGTCACCACTACCACTTATTAGTTGCCGAAACCAAAACAAAATAGACAAAATAACGAAACCGATCACGTGACGATCGTTTTAAGCGTCACTTTGACTAATTTCGATCGCTATTAATATTGAGTAGTGTCTAGAGATCACATACGATAAACGAGCCTCCTGTGTTGGCGCAGTTTTAAAATTAAACTTCTCCCCGCATTCCAGAGAAATTTTAGCAACAGAAGAAAGGTATCCAGTAATGCTAATTTTAGTTTTATATGGTCGCAACGCCGTTTGAAATTATGTGCAATGCTAGAAAGGGCGCGAATGCTCAATAATAGCTCAATTGCCTGCATATGATCGTCAACGTTAACGCCTTAATAACGTTTTTGAGTGCGATTTTGTGACGGGAAAGAAGTGACGGGTGTTTTGTGAGGAATTTGATAAGATACGATAGTATGTAAGGCAATTTGCATAAGTATTTCTATTTTGGTTAACGTTTGTTGTCTCATACGCAATTGACCAGAAACATTAAAAAGCAAATTTTTAATAACAGTTTCGACGAAAGCTTCAGAAAGATATAACTTCCAACTTTTTATAAGAATTCATTAGCATTAAAACGTTATAAGCTTATTAATTATTTACTTTTGAACTTTAAACCATTTCGAATGAGAAAACATTTAGAGTAATCTCAATTAAATGATGTGGCTATCACAAATTTTAAAACATTTTAGATTTACTAAGTACTTTACTTTTAAGTAAAAGCATTTAAATGATTCAACGAATTTTTTTCACACTCTACAAGTGTTTGGAGTGATTAGCCCTTTATCAAAACTGACCATTCAGTAACTAAATTACCCTTGAATAAGAGCTAACCACCCGAAACAATTGTAGAGTTTGAATAAAATACTTTTAATATTTTCATTAAATTCCGTTTTAATTATCGACAAAACGGGCACAATTAAAATTGTGTGTTTCCCCAAAAGACACACTATATTATGTACCTATAAATTGCCTAGTTTTAACAAAATCAAATATTTACACATTCCAGTCAGAATTAACGTAAAACTAATTAAAACTAATTAAATATTATAAATGTAAATGTGAGTTTGTTTGTTTATTACGATTTCACGCTTCAACTACTCAACCGATCATTATGAAATTTTGTAGACACATTGCCAAGGGTATAGAAAAGGACATAGGGTACCTTTTAACCACAAAAAAAATACTGTTCCCGAAGGATAGAAAAATTAATCTTATGTCGTTTTCGACACGTATTTAGGACATTAAAAGCTAGCAATATAACAAAATAATTTCTGTCAAAGGGTGAACCATTGTACTGGGACATTGAGAAAAGTATCACACCAGATCTAAATAAGTTTTATCTTTCGTCATTCAATTATCAAATATCTTTTAAGTGGATAAATTAATTTAAATAAATTTTAAGTTACAAATGAAAATTTCAATTTGTAACTCGAAATTTCGATCTGCAACACGAATTTTCCAAAAAAAATACGTTTTTTCCTTCTATGCCTTCATAGAAAGTAAAGCATTTGGTTGTTTTTTTGTTGTTTTTCACTATTTGATATTTCAACTTCCTGCAAAACTTGTGCGCTCGGATTAATTAGTAATAATAATAATCGTCCTATTTTCTGATGTTCCTTTTGTACTTAATTTGTCTATATGTTTTTTTCAGTATCAACTTTTATAATCCGAACACTTCTACGCCAGCAAACTTAAAAAATTCTGCAGTCATGCGACTAATACAGGAAAACGAACAACCACGTAAGTAACGTTTGAATTAATAAAATTTTGAACGACTACGTTTACATCGCACCCTTGTTTGAATGAATTCCACCCACCGAGTGTTTGATATTTTTGTTACACAGTAACAGGGCACACATAAACTCCTAGTAACAGGCCATTTACAGCCTGAAATTCTCCAATTTTGCACCCCTTGCTATTAACGGTTGATTAAATTATAAATAAATTACTTACCACTGGGTCAATGTCCTTCAAAAATGTAGCGGGTGGGCCAGATGTTGAAGGGAAGAACAGGTACGATTTTTGAGAGTCTGCAAGCAGGATTAGGATTATTTATAATTTGCTTGTTAATTGTTATTTAATGGATATTTGGAAATTTAAGAAGAACATTAGGAAACAAAACTAACTCTGTTTCTGAAAACATTAATTTTGACCTTTCTAGACACATTTTTTCACAGGTAGAGAGAAAACTTTTGAAAAATTTTCTTTATAGATAACGATTGAATTTGCTATATGTATTTTACACACTTTAATTTAATTTAATTTATTAAATTTGGAACGGGATTAATAAATTATGGTATAATAGAGGGTATGAGACAGGGGGAAGAAAGGGGAGAATGAAGAAAGTGTGGAAACCGAATGAAAACAAAAAAAAATAATTTTGGGGTTATTCCATACAATTTCTTTACTTAGTAGCACACTAAGGAGGTTGGGAAAGCTTCCCCAATAGGGGAGGTGTTCGAGAATGGCCCATTTTGTTAAAATAAAAAAAAATTGAGCTTAATCCAGTGAGGGAGACCTAACATACATAATCCATAATAAATGAAACACTTTTTATTAAAAATCCTTTTTTAACGGAAGGGGAGCTTTTTATACTTCCCTTTTCCATCTCACTATCATACTGTAGGACAGTAATTACATATTAAAAATTGCAAACTCAATAATAATTATTTTTTGTCATTTGTTTGGTTTCCACATCTCCCCACATCAAGGGGAAGCTTTTCCTACTACAACCCTACTAGCCCTATCTCCACGTATACTCATTACCCTTAATTGTGCCTAAAATTTACTTCCACTGTTTAAAATAAAGAATTTATTAGCCTGAAATAGTAATAGGATTTACAAGAATAGAACAACAGTCGTAAATTCTAAATACGTATCTACTTACCCTTTCAGGTACACATTCCCCAATATTAATATATAATTGTAATGCCATTTTGCTTAAAATTAGTTTACGTTTGTTTAAACAACAGAGAACGTTTAATAAAAGCACGGCCAACCGTGTTGAGCTTTGTCGAGAACGGAACTAACTAAATACGTATAAGTAAACATATTTTTCTAGTATTGGTTTTCATTAATTTATCTATATTCTGTTGACCTTACATAAAAGGAAGATAAAGTCGTACGTAACTAACAAAAAAACTTGTAGCGTGACGAACTATTATGAGATAATGAACATTTTTCTTCTCGAAACAAAAGATTTATGAAATACACATTAAATAAATTCATTTGAATTTCTGTGTCCTCGGATTTATCAGCACTGTTTTAATTTTCATCATATCTCCTGCTGTGAAAAATACAAATTGCATTTGTTTGTGAACTTAAATTAACAAAATTCTAGACATTTTTCACTTTTAATAATATAATAGGTGTATTGATGTTTGCCGATCATAAACCCTATAAAACAATATTGGGTTAATTTATGCATTATTTTGTTGTGAAATTCATGTAGAAAATATAATCGAGTCGAACCCAGTCGCGGATGAAATGTTTTGTTGTACAGTTCGATGCGTAATTGCTGAGTAGACAACAATTAAAATTAACATCAACGAATCAGAATACACTTTATTTCATACAAGATGAAGCAGGAACAAGTTGATCTTAAAAAGATAACTGAGAATTGCGCTGTGCTATCTTCGCCTCAGTTTGCAGCAAAAAAAAATGCACCGATTAATTAAAAGTTGTAATAATTTTTTAATTTTATGACATACTTAATTATATGATCATTATATTAGGTGAAAATCAAAACTAGCTCTATACTCATACACAAAAACAGTAACACCCCCGATGTAAACGTAGTCTCATTTTACACAATTTTAATAATTTTTTATTTATTATTAAAAGCTTCCTCACTGTTAAATGGGGTATAATTTTGACAACGTTTTCGTTAATCTTTTATCACACTTGAAAATTATTCTACAATATAAAATTTTTACTGACCTATAATAGTTGCATTAATCTAAACTTAAACTTGACCAAATTTTAGTCATTTTTAAGTAAAAAAGACGAAGATTAAGGCCCAATTTCCGTTCTATAATAAAGAAAAAATACAGTCAAATTTCCCTAAGTTAAGAAAATTTTCTTCCTCCCGTTAATAACCCTTACAATTTCAGATCTCGATATTAGACGGTATTTCGTTTGTGTCGCCTTTTCCTACCTTTTTATGCTGTCTTTATCAATGTAATAATTAAGGTTAATACATAAACTTTCATCAAACATTTGCATTTTCTACAAATGGTTCATCACGTAGTAACACAACATAAGTATAGTTGGGACAATCAAAATTGGCAAGTCCACAATAAATTATCCGTGAAAAAGGACGTATCTTCTTTCTTGTTTCCACTTGAGATTATAGTCATTTGCTGCGTTTTGAATACGCCCTTGTTAAGAATGCTTGGAACGTATGTCAAAATGCTACAAGACAAATAAATATTTGGAAGAACGTTCCTCATTCAATTCTGAAAGTACTGTAAAGATTACAAATCGATTCACTAAACCGTTAAAAAGTTATTGATATTTTAAAAAATTCTAATTTTACACGACATTTTATGGAGATTCGTTAACCGAACAGATTAAAGTTATTTTTATTAACAGAAAAAAAAGCTACCACAAATTTCAAACTTTTATAATAAGTAACTTGAACTCTGGAGAATCACTTTAGCGTAAGATTATTCAAATTCACTAAATGGTTATCGAGGAAAAAATGAAAAATTAGGCGAAAATCTCGTTTTTACTTGATAATATAATGATAATATTTATAATTGTCTGAAATAATTTGTTTGTTTCGAAGTTGAAATCACTGGCAAAAGTCACTTAAAAATTTTCCATATTATTCGTTATTTCTTATTTCATTCAAAGTTTTTCCAAATTTCCTCAAACCGTATCCTTTTTTTTAGTATAGATAGTATTCATTTACCTCATGATATGCTGCAAAACCTAATTAATTACGAATTTCTAATTTTATGTACTCTTGTCTCCGATTGTACCTCCCAAACATCTGTAATTTTGGAAAGCCATCATGAGTAGTACAGACAAAGGAAAAAGAGATAACCGAATAATAGTAAACAGTGCAGTAGTTAAATATTTAGACAAGCGTCATTGCTATCCTAAATTCCTGAGGATATTGAACATTCTTTAAAATGCGATGCTGTCAACATGCTCAAATTCTACTTATCTGCATCTCTTTCTCTTACACATTAACTGGTGTAATGTTATTCCTTTTTCTTGATTAGTGTCCGCTGCAATTCCTACCAGGCATCTCTTTCCTATGTTTACGATATTCCCTATTACGTTTGTCATAAGTAAAATGTTTTGTTAGCAACGTCTCTAGTTTACTTACTAAGTTGAAAGAAGAAAGTAAATGCGATAGTTTTATCGTGGACTATGCCAGTTTTGAATGTCCAAACTATATCAAAAAATTACGCTTGCCTTTTGCTTCAAACAAAACACGAAAAAAATTCATAACTCTGCAAAAATCATTCTTCTTATCAGGCATATGTACAGTCTACTTACAGAAAGAACCTTAAACATAATCATATTTTTCCAACATAATTTTCTTTGTTTTGGGGGTGAAAATTGGGTCCTATGAACCTTGTCCTTTTACATGAAACATGAAATATGGATAGGGAAAATGCCTCAAGTTTACAGTAATGCAACTATGGTCAGTACTGAATGTTTTATAGAATAATAAGTCTTCAAGTGGGAAAATAAAGCTGCCAAATTCACTTATCCTTTAAAAGGAATATAAAGATTTATAAAAAATTTTTAAAAATGGATTTAAGGTGGATAAGATGGTTTAAAATAATCATATACATATCCTATTTTTTCAATTTTTGTATGTATGTATGTATGTATGTGTGGTTATAAAATTATCTACCAACCACACAGAACATGATCGCAGAGAAATCTATGAATCCGCGTTTTATATTTGCCAACTCGAGTAATGTCTGCTAAATCTGAGTTACATGAGTCATCGTAATGCTTTAGGTACTGAAAGCAACTCGAATTTACGAACACACGATGGACGACAGAATTGGCCACCTCCAGATAACAAAGCGGTTCACAAAATTCAATTTGGAGTTTCAGGTAGAAACAAATTGATAGATGATCAAAGAGACATAGCGCATGATCGAGGGCACACAACCCCCTCCATTGCCTAAATCATTTTCTTTCTCTTCTTCTTCTTCTTCCTATATTTTTGTCTTCATTGACAAAAAGTTTTCCGGTGGTGAATTATTACTTTTTGTGACAGTTACAGTTTGAACTCTGTTCTTATAATAATTATATTGTGGTGTTATTTATCTGTTATTATCTTTTTTTTTGTTATTGTTGAAGTCTAACTCTTCTTCAGTGATTAATTTATTGAACTAGTTAGTGTCGACGTGTCATTAATTTATTAATTGTTAACAAGTAAGAAATAACTTTTTCTAGTCAATGGGAGAGCTTTTTTGTGAGCTTTTGTACTAAATACTTTTTGTATTTTGTTTTTTTTTTCAATTTTTTTTAATCACTTCATCTAGTTTGTCATTTGTCATCGCAATTATTTATTAATATTAATAACAATTGAAGAAAATTTAACTTTCTTGATGAAACAAGTTCTTTATTAGTTTTATAATTTTTTTTGAAGTCACCTTAAGTTAATAAATAAAATAAATACAATAGGACTGCGAGTTCACGTTATTTTGCATAAAAGATTCATTAGATATTGTAAACGTTAAATTTTTTGTTTATTTAACATATGAATCCACGAAGTAACTGCTAAATATGGCTACATGCCTTGCATCATTACGACCTCAAACTTTTCTAACAAGGGAGAACTAAACTGGGTTGACTTATGAATACATTAATTTTTTAGTGTTATTTAAAATTAGCCTACATGCTTGCGGATATTAGATGCGGTACAGAAAACTTAAAAATCTCTCCAAATTAGACCTCACATATAAACGAGATTTTAACATTAACTATATAAGCTTTTCTAGTGATTTTCCTGGAAGCTTTACAATACTCTCCATTAGTTTTAAATAAGATATTGACGTCAATATTGGCAAAGAAATTCTAAATAAAAATTTTGAATTGTTTATAACACGATACCATCAAGACCCTCCATTATTTTTATAAGTATCGATTACTGATTTGGGTAACAGTATCGTGTGTCGATATTGTCAAATAAAATATCGTATTATATCGAGAATATCGAAAAATCTAAAATTTTAATAATTAAATTTAAAATAAACTTTCCTAATAGGAAACTTGTTAATGTGATTAACAACACATCAAATTAGTTCGTCAAATATTTCTTGAAATAATAGGCTTTCGTGAAGGCAGGTTCACAAGTGACCGTACGCAGCATCCGTTTTTAGTTTTTACGTACGGAACCCTAAAAAGGGTAACGAAAAGATTTATGAAGGCTATTGTTTCATTTGTCATTAATTATTATTAGAAACATTTGAAGGCTCATAAATCTATTCTTAGTCTAATGACCTGAGCGCTTATAAACTTCAACCGCTTTAGTATTTGTAAGTTCCCACTAAAAATACCATTTAATAAAGTTAGTGGGAATTTTATAGCTTCAAGTGATATATCTACAATACCAGTTCAACCTCGTCCTATATATGGAATATTGACATTTCAATACGTTCAATGCGTCAAAAGATTGACGATTTTTAATTAAAAACTTTAAATACCGAAAGTAAGCGTAAGACACATTTCCATCCTTTAATTAGATATTAAATAATTTACCTAATTTTATTTCGTGAGTGGAGATTCCGAAACCGATTTCCACCTACTCCTTCTCCCTTTATTCTGCGTCAGGTTTCAATGTTTCAGTTTGTTCGATGAAGGTTTCTCGTTCTCAGTCGCCTAGTCTAAACGAACCTTAACATTTCCTGGCATGAGACTATTAATAAATAAGAAATGCAGTCGGCTGAAGCGTACACTAAAAGTCTATCACAAACGTTTGACTGATGACAATATGAAAAGCTTTATTTGATTCTTAAAATAAGCACAGTTGGCATTAACGCAAGCGAAAGCAAAAGTAGGTGTCCCCACAATTGAAATTAATTGACAAAATTTGCGACATCGATTAGACACATTTTTATTTTTAGGTGTGAGTAACGTTTAGTGTTTTCTTTGTTTCCGATTTCGAACTTAGAAATCAAAAAAATGGTACCAACTTGGCAATACCAAGACTGGTGTTAGTATTGCTTTGCTCATGAGTAGGTGGAATTGTTATTTTTAATTTGTAATCATTACAAAAAGTTTATGAGGGTTAAGGAATGGAAAAACTTTGGTGGTTGTTGAAGAACAAACAAAATAGCTCAAACCCCAACGTCAAAACACGACACTGTAGTTGTCCGAAGCACTTTTCGGTAACAAGGTTACCTTCTTCAGGGACTGAAGCGAACTAGGGTTAAGGAAAACTAAAAATGGATTGACAGAAGCTCCAAAAAATGTTTTAAAAGACAAAGGTTATACGAGGATAATAACGCGTGAAATAAGTAATAATTCAGTTAGTTTCAATTAAAATTCACCCTCAAGGTGTGAGAATTTATTTCGCTAACGTGACGTTATAAGGGAATGTTTGGACAAACTTGAAAAAACAGTATGATTAGGAAAAACAGTTTGCAAACACCTATGCATTCGCGTATGTCACTTGAAACACCTGACTCAAAAACGTTTCGCTGTTGTGTGTTTCAAAGCTGTGCCAGAATTTAATTTTAGATGGATTTTCAAAATCTCGCCACTGAATGCTTTGAATTATGAAATATCTGGAGAACATAGTTTCGTTTATTTTTTGACCTCCATGTTAATTTGTAAGTTTTGCAATAACTATTTCTGTATCTATAGAATTCTAAAATTACCTTCTCACTAAAACAACAGGTAATTTATTTACTATAGAAGAAGTCATGAAAGAGGAAAGTTGGTGCATAAAAATTAGCATTTTTAACAAGAAATTCCAAAAATGTTCTCCGTTCTTCAACGCTTTAAAAGTAGTGGAGTATAAAAAGAATCTACGTAAAAAAATCGATTTCAATATGAAAATTAAATTTCTAATGCGTACCTACCTATATTGGATTTTCTAAAAGAAAATATCCATAAACTTTTTTAATATTTTATCACTTGAACGACACAAACAAATGATATTGATTTTCCGTCCTTAAATATGAAAATATAACTTATATAAATGTGTATAACGGATTTTCTAAAAGAAAATATCCATAAAGTTTTCGGAGGTTTTTAATATTTTATTACTTGAACGTGGCAAACAAATGATATTGATTTTGGGTCCTCTATCCCATTTTATCACACCTTTTTTTTACTTATATGTATGTTGTATATCCATTGCCATCATAAGCAATATACTGAAAATTAAATATGAAACATCTGAACTTATCTGGTAGACATTCCCTTTTATTGCACAGTCGTAAACTTCAGAGCAAATATAATAGGGCTCTAAAAGATTCCTCTCAAGATTTTTACAATTTCTGGTTACAGAAATTTGTCAGTACATTTGCGAATAGTCTTGTAAAATTTAATTATAAAACTCAAACAGGAAAAGCAATGCATTGTCTTAAAAATGAGCATTCAATTACTGTAATAGCAAGAAATGCAGCTGAGGTATGATAAATGATAGAAAACCCGCGATGGCTAGATGCTCTAATTGAAGGTAAATTTTATTGGACCTTAGCGTAAAAGGAAAGCTTTGACAATAAACATAAAGCTTTTAAAAGTTTGAGAAATATGCAAGGATATTTTATATCGCTAATGGAAAGAAAGCAAAACTAAATTATTAATCGTCACAGAAAATCAAGAAAAATGGCTCCCCTAACGGTTGTCTTAATAAGTTTTCCTTCATATCGTTATTAACTTCATAATATTTAGGACCGCTCCAATAGTTAAATAGTCAAACACAGAATTTTTCATTTTTTTACATTGCTGATTCTTATACGAGGGTGGATTGATAAGTTTCCGGCCTAACCAAGAGATGACGCCACTAGGCCTACCTTGAGGTGACATTCTATAGTACCATCCTTGGATAGCTTGTAGCTATAGTTTCAGCCCGATCTCCTTGCTAGTGTAGGTTTGACAGCACGCTGAACAAGACGCCTCTGTGGTTTTCGTAAAAATGGAAAAGCAGGAAAATCGTGCTGTCATCAAATACTTTTATTTGAAGGGGTTAACGCCGAAGGAAATTAAAAAAGAGATGGACTCAACACTGGGGACATCCTCCCCGTCATATTCAACCGTTAAGCAGTGGGTTTCCGAGTTTAAAAAGGGTCGTGTGAGCACCTCTGATGGGCCTCGCTCAGGACGCCCCGTTGAGGTCACAACTCCAGATATGATCGAAAAAATTCATCAAATAGTGCTGGGAGACCGCAGATTGAAAGTGCGTGAGATAGCTGAGACCTGTAAGATGTCATATGAACGTGTGCAACATATTTTGCACCAACATTTGCATATGGAAAAGCTCTGTGCAAGATGGGTGCCGCGTTTGCTAACAGTCGACCAAAAATTGATTCGAAAAAACATTTCTACCGCAAATTTGTCATTGTATAAGCGTAATCCAAGCGAATTTTTGCGTCGATTCGTAACCGTTGACGAAACGTGGGTCCACCACTACACTCCTGAAACCAAAGAACAGTCTAAACAGTGGATTGGACCAGGGGAACCAACTCCAAAGAAGGCAAAAACAATTTTTTCGGCGAACAAGGTTATGGCTACTGTTTTTTGGGATGCAAGAGGTATTATATACATTGATTACCTTGCAAAGGGTAATACTATCACTGGTCAATACTACGCAGACTTATTGCAACGTTTGAGCCACGAGGTGAAAATTAAACGACCTCATCTGGCGAAGAAAAAAATCTTGTTTCATCACGATAACGCACCAGCGCACACGTCAATCGTTGCGACGGCTAAAATCAACGATCTAAAGTTTGAATTGATGCCGCACCCTCCTTACTCTCCAGACCTAGCCCCGAGTGACTATTTTCTGTTCCCTAATCTCAAAAAATGGCTTGGCGGTAAGAGATTTGCGGACAATGAAGAAGTAATCGAAGCTGTAAATGGTTATTTTGAGGAGCTTGACGAATCAGTCTATAGAGATGGCATTAATAGACTGGAACACCGCTATGAGAAATGTATCAGCCTTGGAGGAGATTATGTTGAGAAATAAAAAAAAAAAATTTTTAAAAACCTTGTTTTTCTTGGTCAGGCCGGAAACTTATCAATCCACCCTCGTACATCTATGAAAGAAAATGTTTGAGAATCACAACAGTGCAGGAACAAAGTAAAACAATTAGCAAAAATGCCAAAAATTGTCACTTCTATGCTCGCGAACGGTTAATTTAGAAATTCGAAAAAGATTGTTAAAGGTGTATGTTTGGAGCACGGCACTGTACGGGTGCGAAACATGGACGGTGGGCGCGGCGGAAAAGAAAAGGTTAAAAGCGTTCGAAATGTGGTGTTATAGGCGGATGATGAGGATAACGTGGGTAGAAAAGGTTAGAAATGAAGAGGTATTAGAAAGAATAGGAGAACAGAGGACTCTATGGAAGTCAATAAGAAATAGGAGAGATAGATTAGTAGGGCACCATCTCAGGCATGAAGGTCTAGTCAGAGACATATTAAAGGCGGAAAGGGGGGTTAGGAGGGGTATAGGTAGACCTAGATTAGGTTACTGTTCGCAAATAGTTAAGCATATGGGATGTTGTAGTTTTAGGGAAATGCGAAGATTAGCGTACGATAAGAAAGAGTAGAGTTGCGTGTCCAACCAGTCTAAGGACTGACGACCTTATAATGATGATGAAATATGAACTAGAATTAAAGACTTCAAATTTCTCATTTATTCTAAGCTTACAAACTTTAATCCTGCATATCCTTTCCACCATATTTGCAATCAGTTATAAATTACAGTTATACTACAATATTTGAAATTTCATAATTACCCAATGTAGCCTTAATAATTGACATATCGGCAGAAACAACCCTGTTGACACAGCAAACGTTTTGTAAAAAAATTTCCTTTGTATCATTTTCAATAAACATACTTTGCAATATCTCTATCTCCTTCATCATCATTATAAGGTCGTCATTCCTAAGATTGGTTAGGCACGCACCTCCACTCTTTCCTATCTTGAGCTAATCTTCGCATTTCCCTAAAACGAGAACGTCCCACATCCTTAACTATTTGTGAACAATAATCTAATTTAGTATTAAATCCTCTTTCTGCCCCTCATGCCTGAGATAGCAAAACGCAGCCGCTTCTTCTAATTCTTCGTCTCCTATCTTTATATTTGCTCTTTTTCTACTTTAGTCCCTATTCTACAAAATTTAATTGACAACGTGACCAACGTCTGATACAGAAATTGAAATCCTTTTAAAATGTACTTTTAATGTAATATTTCCCCTGCCGTACTAACGAGCGTTATCGAAATTCACAAGAAACTACAAACCCTAAAGAAAATCCTTCGGCGTTAGTTGAAAAGTAGAAAATATCACACTTCAGTTCGTCTTCGCTACTCTAGAAGCTCTTGAATTTATCCTCACATGGAGAGGTAACTGAATTACACTTGACCGATTTTTCACGATAAATTTAGAGTCAGTGGAAAAAAATGACATTTCCACGTGCTACTCCATGAAAACTTAAAAAATAAAACATTAGACATGCAGGTAATGATGTACTTAATTTACTAATTGTCATAAAACCAGATAACTCCGAAAAACAAATTTAAATTAAAAACATTCATCATAGGTCCATCCATTAACTTCCTTCAAAAAATTTTGATAAGAAAACTATACAATATTTTTTTCCTTATTAGGTCTAAAGCGTGTAGCTTGGCCACCACCATCTGCTGAAGAACATTTGGTCGAAGTTTCACCAGACCAAGTGGTAAGTTTTTCCAACATTTATACTGTAATTTTGATATCTAGGTATCAATAACTGCGCCAGTTACTTATGTATGTTAAAACGCGGATTTTGCTAATCAGATACTGTCATAATTGATTATTTTAGGCACTAATTGGAATCAACAAAAGGTCAGTATCTAAAAAATAGGCATCTTTCGTCGTTACTTACCGTTTTTTACCTCTGTATGAAAGATATTCGTTGAAAATAAGCTAAAAAGTGGAACTACGCCAAATCTATAAATTTTTGACTTTAAGACGGTTACTACAATGTTTGCGTGGTTAGAAGTTGATTTTATAATAAAATGATATAAAATATAAGATAGTAGGCGAGGCGGTAAACAACCTACTAAGATTAGGTTAAGGACTAAATTGGTATAGGTTTACGCTATCCGATCGACCTAAAAACTATGACCCGGTTAAAAAAATAATTTTTGATAAACAAACAACAAACAGAATATTTTTGTATAAAAACAATGTAGACTTGGGTCAGTTTAGCAAGGCGAAGTCCGTAATAAATTACTGAACTCACAAGCATTTAAAACAATCCATCTTGAAGTGCCTTTAAATAATATAGGATATCGTGGATTTAGGATTTGCTATTATAAACAATGACGTAACTGATATAGGGCAAAATGAGGCGGTAGCCTGATTTATCGAATCTCATGGGACCCTTGGCCAGGTGGACCCTAATAAGCAACGGTAAACTGTAACTCTCATGGAAGTGAAGTTAATCGTTAGCATGCGTTTGAAAACGGAAAGGTTCCTTGACAAAGATGAGCAAAAATCGATTGTGTAAGGCGTGTTCAATAAACACCTTTTGCCAAAGGACTGGAAGTGTTTGAATGCCGTTATCAAAAAGTAAATTTGATCGCATCTCCATATCCAATTTCGCAAAAACGGTTCCACGTCTTTGTCGTAATCTAAATGACTTTTGACGCGACATCAAGCAGAGGGCTGTAATTTTTAAGTCGCATTATCGTCTGCGATTACACACGGGTGCATTATTACAATTCGGCGCGATATACAGTTAACCACCCTTACTAATGCCAGCTTCTTGATGAAGAAAAACTGGCTTGTCAGCGAAAATTTTTCTCCACCGTCGATCTCGGCCAAATACAGCTGCTATGATCCAAGAAAACTGAACATAATCTATTGGGAAAAGACTTGAATGTCCTCCCTGTAGTCCTGGTTCGTCTGACTATAATATAGTATGTTTGAACCACTAATAGAAGAACGTGGAGGACGCCATTTTGATGATAGTAAATCAGGACGTAGAGGCGTTTGTGCTTATTTAGTGAGAGGCACGACAACATTAATTTCTCGATATTGGCATTAAAAAACTTCTAATCTATTAGAGAAAAATGACAAACAGATAGAACGACAAATGTTTTTTGTTAAAAGTGTGGACTTCGTCTTTCTAAAATTATCGCAGCAATGATATTTTTGAATGATCATGGAATAGCTGGCACTAATTGGAATTTTTCGTAGGTTAAAGCTCAAAATTCGAGTGGCCCCGCCAATTACGCGAACCAAAGTAGCCCCCGGTCAGGCTATAGCACCCCTTCTACTCAACAAGGATTAGCGAATAACTATCAACAGCCTGCTTATCAACAACCTTCTTATCAGCAGAAACAACCTGCTTATCAGCAACAACACTCTTACCAACAGCAACCCTCCTACCAACAACAACCCCCTTATCAACAACAGCACTCTTACCAGCAACAACCCGCTTACCAACAACAGCAACAACAACCCTACTATCAACAGCAACAACCTGCTTATCAACAACAAAATTCGTTCTCTCCTATCCACAATCAGACCCCTTCCAGCTTCAGTCCAGTTCAGCAACCTGCTAAACAGTGGTCGTCGGTGTCTTCTCCCACCCCAACATCTCCTATCCCACAACGGGGTCCTCAATCTCCTGCCCAAGCTCCAGGATTTCAATCTAGCTCACAAGTTTTCTCACCAAGCGCCCAGAGTTACCAAAATACGGCCCCTGCGTACCCAAAGGTATGAGGGTGAAATTTTTTACCATTTCAATTCAGTCTTTGGTACGGAAGCTCTTGGTTTTTTAAACTGATATCCTGCAATTAATTTTGTCTTTGGCATTTATTAGATTTTATTTTTGAAATTATGACGTCAAATCAGTTTCCTAATATCCTTACACTAAACCTACTAAAGATTAATCGATAAAGAACTAAAATCCTTCGTTCTATTTTTCCGATATTGCGGTCAATAAAGGAAGCAGTAAATTTTATGTTATTAAGCCGTTTCCTTTGAAAGGAGCCGTTTATGTCACAAATACAAACTGAACTGAAACTGAAACAAAAGCCAGAGACTGAAGAACGTTTTTGTGGCGCAAAGTGCTTAAAGTTGTTCTTAAAAATAACGCTTTTAATGTCCTATTAACTCGTTTGCTCTGCCGATTATTATGATGCTGATCTAATAAAAAGTTCCCACTAATAAAAATTTGAAAAATTCCAATGTGTTCCGAATTACATGTACATGTTCGTAGTTTGCCAGACAAAAGATAACCGTTTATTCTTTTTTGTTTTTTTTTTGTGTCTGTTGTTAAGCGTCTTTTTGCACATCACGGCTACATACTTACAAAGTTTTTGATTGTGCAATTGTTTCAACGTAAAGGAGTATATAATTGCAAATTGTTTTTTTGTAAAATATATTTTTTTATGTGCAATATACATGTGTAATATAAATATCTGAACTGTGCTTTAAGTAGGTATGAACCGATCGTATTGTACAAATATTAATAAAATGGTTTGAACCGAAACAAATTCATTATTTTTGATGGAAATTCCTTAGAAAAACGGACTGTTCCCGTTCGTTGATTTCCTAATTATTTGATTAGCCAAGCTTGCTAAATTTAAACAATTCTATACGTTACCGTGAAAAATGCGACGCACTTTTTTTATTGATATTTTTTTATCATAAAACTACCCTTATAAATCGAAAATAGAATAACTACAATGGTCTTTAATGTTATTTTGAATTTACCTAACATTTGATCCGATCTGCAGTAAATAAAACTTTAAATCCTTTTATTCGTTAGGTTAAATATTATATAAAAATAGTTTCAAAAATGAACATTTCTGATATATTTTGAATTTTTATAGCGGGAAAGAAGACTTCTGTTTCTTGTTTTCCTTTTGTCTTAGGTTTTCTACTGAATATAAATTAAATTTGCACTAAAAATAAATATAAAAATTTTTGAAAATGAATGTATGAAATCATTATCAAATTATTATTACGAATACTAAGCTGTAGTAGGTACCACCAAATCAAGTACGCTGCTTATCAGTTGATTTGAGAATCGCTTCTATTTTAATCCGAATGTCATACGTACATTGTCTAACTGGACTGTAATTTAATTATAAGGATCAAGACATTCAACAGTCGAGAGGACCTGCAAGGCCTCAAGCTACACAACCACAGAAGCAATTCGAACCCCCTCCTCAAACGATTACCCTCCGATCCGAACCCCCAATGAGTCAAAAGCCGGCCCCAGTTTACAACGCACAACCTGCCGCTAAAGTTTTTAAAGGTACGAGAGTGTTTTTATTCCATATTTTTATTTATAATTTAACACAAACTTCATGTTTTTTGTTCAGGCGGTAGCTTTTTACGCGGGGACTTAAAATGGCCCCCACCGGAAGTGAAGAAACATATGGAAGAAGAAAAGAAGCACTTAGAAGACTTGGCCAAGGGGCCAGCCTTCAAGCCGAGGAAGATGGAGAAAGATTATACCGATTTCTTCGCACAGCACGCATTAAACAATACCTACCCTGGATACAAAGTACCCCCAGGTACCCTATATTATCCCCATGAACCTAAATATATCAAATTAAGTTAGTTTAATTACATAATACTTTTTTTTCATTGCAAACCGCAAGTGATAATTACTATTATAATAAAGTGGCTAATTATTGTAAATAAAATGAAAAATTATAAATAACGCATATGTATTTTAATTATTATATTATTAAAATTAATATATACGAAGTACGCTTTTCCAGTTACACTTTTATTTCATGTTGTGATTATTTGTTCTTGTTATGTACCGTTAAAAGGAAATTTAATTGCGCAAACTTTGTGACTGTTTTGGCACTTGCATAGGTAAATTATACTATAGTTGTATTGTTGTGCTTTTAAATTTCATTTTTTGTAACTTAATACCCGAGCTACTCACAAATAGCTAAGTACACAACAAAAAAGTCACTTTGCTGACGTAAGTAAACGTTATTGGACTGGAGTACCTGTGCCAATTCTATCTAAATCGCGGTTATTTTAGGATCTTGAAATAAATTTTCTGTTTCTCGGTGATACCTACATGGGTGTGTGTGTGTGTATAATGCGCCGGAACGTAGCAAATTTGTGAATAGCTTTATTTATTTTTACTTATTTATTGATGCAACACGAAAACAGTGTAGTGACGAAAGAATAAAAAACGCTTAATAAATATTGCACTGCTTCGCATCAGCTGATTATTTTGTTTGTTGTCTATAAATAAAATACACATGAATAATAAAATCACGAATAATCTTAAAAAAAAAAAGAAAACGATTCTCCCTCTATCTCTTTTTATAATGTTATCGAGTAGTTTAGTTTTAAAGTAAAACATTGCTTCTGTAAATAATCTGCAAGTGTGTAGATATAAGAGCAAAATTTGAATGAAATTGTAACAAATTTCAATAAATAAATAAATAAATTCAAAATAAGGGATCTTATATTTTAAATAATCGCTGATTAGTTTACGATGATTTTCAGAGACGTAGGAGATATTTTCAAAAGAAATTTGTAACGTTTATGTTCGGTGAAAGTTTTTCCTTACCTATCATTGACTTTTGATAAGTTAAATTAGTAAATAAATAGACGATTTGCAATAACCTATGAAACACACAAAGATAACGTTCTTTGACAATATTTCCTTCAAATATTCAAACTGAGGCAATGTATCGCCATCTGATGGGTATTTGCTGTTACTAAAATCGTTAGACGATACCTTAAGAAGATACTTCTAACTATCTAAGCCAAATTAATAATCCTATAGAACAAGTTTGTATAGACACTGGATCGCCATCTGGTAGATATTTGCTGATACTGAAGTAGCCACTCAGGAATCCACGTTTAGTTTTTATTTTTAGTAAGTTTCTATTTTAACAAAAAGCCAAAAAAATAAAACAAACTTAAAATTATAAAGTACTTTTTTAAATAAAAAAAAATATGCTACTGTTAAAAATTAAAAATTATTTCACTTTCCAAGTCTGATAAGTTTTAGATTCTTGGCAATCTTCGTCTTAATCCTAAAATGCTATCAATATGTTGTAACTGAATAAAAAAGGAATAGAGAAAAAGATGCTTAAAAAGTCGTGTAGAATTTGAAAAACCTTGACTATTCATCAATTCATTCTACATGCACGTAATTTAATTAATGTAGATAAGGTGGTAATTGTTAACAATGAATTAAAGAAGAGAAAGCAATCGTATTGATCGGCATATTTCACAGAATAATAAAATACATGTATGTAGGTCATGGGCTGAAGTAAATTTTATCGAAAGCAATTGTTTTGCCATTCGTTTTAGTAGATAAGGTTTATGTGACTGATAATGTCATTACGTTTTTATATGCAATCATATTCTTACATAAATAATAAATAAAAAGTACATGTACTCGAAATTTCTCATTTTGCTGGTACCAGGGGCTTTAAAAGTAAAGCTCAATTTAAAGTGCCTTTCTTCTTCATTTCTTCGAAGAAAGCCACGCTAAACCTCTCGAAATAAATTTCATAAATCAAATTCCTTTTTTGCAACTTTTCTCACAACGAAAGTTAACTTGATCGTACTGAATAACTTTGAATTCATAAAACTTTTCCAAGAATATCGACTGTTGTTTACTGAATTCTATACAAGTTTTTTTGAAAAGTACTTACGAAAAGTATACAATAGAATGTCTACCAGCGGAATATGAGATCAAGGGATAAAAAAACGATTTAAAGGATATATATATATAAGCATGCTACCCTAAGAATGCATATTTTTGTCTCGACGAACAGTGAATAGTGTCAAGCGTTTACTTTAAATCCATAAAATAAAACCATAATCAAATACTAATTTTAAGTCATTTTAATAAATATGTTATTATTTTGTGTTTTTGGTTGGATTCTAATTTAATTTTTTTAATTTTTATTCTTAAATTTAAACTAGAATTGTACAGAGGTGGGTAGACAAAAGGGCGGAAGAACTCTTATGGGATAATCAATTTGGGTTTAGAAGAAATAGAGGAGCACGGAACACTTTTTAATCTATATATCGAAGACGCGATCAACATCATTAAAGACGGTACAACTGCAGGGATAGATAGATATACAGGGGCAAAAGATTAGTATGCTTAGATTTGCAGATGATATTACAGTATTAGCATCTAGCAAGGTGGAGTTAGATATAGCTTTAAATAAAATTGAAGCACTATTGACAAAACAGTATTGTATGAAAATAAATAAAAGTAAAACAAAAACACTGGTATGCAAAGGAAGAAAAAGTAAGGAGAGAGCGAATATAAAGATAGGAGACGAAAAATTAGAAGAAGTGGCTGATTTTGAGTAACTAAGAAGTCAGATAAGTCAGGATTGAAGGTGTAATAGGTATATAAAGTAGAGGATAGCGTAGGGTCGAGTAGCCTTCAATATAAAGAAGTCACTTCTATGCTAGCAAACGGTTAATTTAGAAATTCGATTAAGATTATTAAAGGTGCACGTTTGGAACGCGGTGCTGTACGGGTACGAAACATGGACGGTGGGCGCAGCGAAAAAGAAAAGGTTGGAAGCGTTCGATATGTGGTGTTACAGGATAATGATGAGGATACCATGGATAGATAAGGTTAAAAATGAAGAGGTATTAGAAAGAATAGCAGAACAGAGGACTCTATGGAAATCAATAAGAAATAGGCGAGATAGGTTAGTACTTAGTAGGACACCTTCTTAGGTATCGCGGTCTAGTCAGAGACATATTAGAGACAGAAACAGGAGTTAAGAGGAGTAGAGAAAGATCTAGATTAGATTACTGTTCGTAAATAGTTAAGGATGTGGGATGTTCAAGTTTTAGGGAAATGCGAAGATTAGCTCAGGATAGGAAGGAGTGGGAGGTACGTGTCCAACCAGTCTTAAGACTAACAACCTTATGACGATGGTGACGATGACGATGAATTTTTATTCACCCAATTATTACTTGTTTAACATTTTAATTCTTCTAGTCCGTTATAGCAAAAATTAGTGAATGGCATAGCACTTTTATTAGTTCTGGACCACTTTTAACCCTATTTAAAAGATACGTATAAAAGTGGAAGACAAGTCTGCTATTATTAAGAAGAATGCACTTGTCTATTCAATGCTGCCCTGGTTTCATAAAATAAATCTGGGTTTCATGAAGAAAACAGTTGAATTCTTCGAAACAATTGTAGTTGATAAAAAACTTTTACGAGAAATAGAAAACAACAGGATTATTATTCTTTGAATATCACGAATGTCGACCTGGTGTCTTAGTTAAGAGCACTTTGCATGTAAAATATATCAGATGTCTTAAATTTTATTCATCGACTTGTTGCATATTCAATGTGCTTTTTAAATATATTATCCACTACTGTCATCCATATTCCTTTTACGTTAAAACGGGGCCAATGTTGCAAAAATTTACATTCTTGGTGATCTACAAACGTGTATGTATAGGTCAAAACATCAAATATTAATAATTTAAATTGACCAAAGGTCGCAGGTCAATAAGGCCGATTTTTGCCCCAATTGACCACTAATTCAGAAAAAAATACCTACGATTTTAATGATTCTGTAATTTATTTTTTTTGAGTAACTACTCTGCCCCATAATCTTGCACAATTCGGCCGCTTAATAGTTTAATAGCTTCTAATTCTTTAACTGAACAGAGCCCAAAAAATTCTAAACTGCTTCGAAATCGATAATGTAAAATATTGGACCGATATTGTTTTCCGGGTTCAATGTAATGATCCATGGAATTTTAAAGTTCCAAATTGATATCAGCACTTGCCAAATCACCATTTGTCGTACCTTCAGTAAGGAACTACGAAATTCTATGAATTACGACAAAACAATATCGAATTGATATACGCCAGCTGTGTAAAACTGAAAACTACAAGATATTGTAGTGTGCTAATAAATGTATAGGTATAATCCAAAATACTTAGAAAACGATTCGAAAAATTTCGCTTATTAGACAAACTCAAAGCTAATAAAACTATGGATTCCATTACTTTCTCTTATTACAATGTGTAAAAGATCAGAAACAAAATGGGGTTGTAAATACAGTGTAAACTCTTTATAACGTCACTCGATTAAACGACAATCTCCTTAACACGTCGAAATTGCTTGACTTTGGTTGGTTTACATCGTTTTCTATACAATATTATACTCTATATAGCGTCACGCTCACTCTATTTAACGACAACAATGCTGCATTATAAGTCATTAAGCAGTACTTTCTAAGCTGCCGAAATAGATAAGAACTGCAGCTGTATACGTTGTTGAAGAAGACGATCCTGTCCCTCCACCAAGCATCAAACAAGCACTTGATGCAGCGAAACTATTAAAAAAATGCTTTTTATATAATCAAATTGATCCAGCAGTATCTCAAGATATGAGTAAGATACGTAACAAAATACAATTAAAATATTGGAGCAGCAAAAAACATCAGACGAAGATAACAGGCTATACGCAATGTATGAATAATAATGTTCGTGTGCAAAATGTGTACTATATTGGTAAATGCATATTATTATAGAATAGTAAAATAATATCTTTTATTTCTCTCCATTTAACGACCACTCTTTATAACGCCGAAAAAGGTTCAGTCCCTTAAGTGTCGTTATATAGAGTTTAGACTGTATTTTAATATAAAATGATTGATATACCATTAAACTATAACATACAGATAGAATAACTATATCTCAATCACTTCAAACAGAAAAACTTCAAATCATACTTGCAAACACCACTATTAGACTAGAAAAACTTCAATATTTAAAAAACAAGCAAATGCCTGCAATGTTTTCCTAAAAAATATTTTATACTTAAGTAATATTATCGCAGTTTCCGTAAGGGTGTGGTAAAAAATTGAACTCAGGTGTTGGATAGAAAGTACATCAGCCCCCTAATTCATGTCCAATCGATTCATTCGATGTAATTGTAAAGAAACAAAAATAATTGTTCAATGAATTTAGAATTTAGCTTATTTCCTCTTTTTGGCTGTTTCAACAAAATAGTCCTGTGTCAAAGCCAGGAGCCCCGTTATCCTTGTGTCCAGGACCTCGAACAGGCTAAAGAAGGTCCTAATTGAAATCAAAAATTTAGATGAAGAGAAATCACCGTAGGTGTTGAAAATTGTTTAAAAATAAGTGCTTAATATAAAATATAAAAAAATACGGTCTAACAAGTATGAAATTTATTAGCATAAATTTAAAATGATACAGATAGATAAAAAGATAGATACTTATGAAAACCGTCGACAATAATCGATTAAAAGTAACAATCGGCATTGCTAATTTTCAATTTCGTACTATAATAAGTGTAAAATCGAATGTTGCAAATATAAGTTAATATGAAAATTTAGGTTCTCCTTTTTTTTTAGGTAATACAATCACATATAGCGACAGACAAGTAATACATGGGCACAAAACAGTCACTAATTTTAATGTTTACTGACGAAGAAATTGTATTTAGAAAGTTTAATTTGAATGCACTTTTTGACGTGACAACGTCTTATAATTCGATANTCCTCTTTTTGGCTGTTTCAACAAAATAGTCCTGTGTCAAAGCCAGGAGCCCCGTTATCCTTGTGTCCAGGACCTCGAACAGGCTAAAGAAGGTCCTAATTGAAATCAAAAATTTAGATGAAGAGAAATCACCGTAGGTGTTGAAAATTGTTTAAAAATAAGTGCTTAATATAAAATATAATTAATCAAGAGATACAAATAAAATTGGAGTGTCTTAAGTTGATTCTCAAATCTGCTTCCAAAACTTAACAAAGCTTTTTAAGTTTTGTGTTCATTTAATAAGGACTTGCTTTAGTGCCTGCCGTTTTCCCTAAACCTGATGAGAATACGACAAAGTTTCAATTTTCAATTACGGGCTAAAAATATTCACAAATGAACAACAAAACAAAGCAGATTGTCATATATACGATAAAAGCCGCCATTTGTTCGATAATATTTCATGATATATAATTCTAGTAAGGGGTAATTTAATTTTACCTACTTATGCCACGACATACCTATGTAATTTCAAATTTGTTTTGAACGAAAGTTATGTCTCACGATCTTCCAGAAGTTCATTTAATTTCAATAGTCAATCAAGGAATGTCTCCGCTACGTGCTTGGACCCAAATGCAAATCATTATAGACAATAATTTCGTAACTGGATTATAAAATACTGTTCACTTACTAATTTTGATCACATTAAAAAAAGGCATATTGAAGTTACTACAGTTTATAAACTTACCTGTCGGAGAACAAGCATACCGGGAGGTGGAACGCCAGTGGGTCAAGCTGTCAATTGGTTGTGGAGGTAACAAAACCTGGATTTTGGTTTGCACAAAACGCCGATTCACTATTACGTCAAAGTAAAGTTCTTAAATACGTTTAGCACATTCCGATAACACAAACAGGTTAATGCTACTATTTTTTCGATGGTCAGTTTTGACCAAAATGCCGATTCTAAAACCGACATGGATGTGTGGACTGACGACCAAATATTACTCAACTACTAGCTAACAACAGCCTTGAACCGAAGATGTAAGCATGCTCATTACTTTGATCCTTTCTCTTTTACGTTCAGAGTGGTGGTGGAAACTGCTTATCAGTTGCTGATACACCAGTACAATTTAACACATTTGTTTATGAAAATTTAAAATACACGGATTGATCAAAATAAAATATACATGTACTTCTTGATTCCTATCAACTGACTGATGACTGATATCCAAAATTAAAGGACTATGATCCAAATCCTTTTAGTAATGCAAAATGAGAAGTGATAATAAAAAGCAAATTTGTCTTAACAAAATTATTTCCTTAAAGTACCATTCAATGGCACCAATTGAGTTTTTGTTACACCTTGATATGCCAAAATGTATTTTCATTCTTTTTTTATGAAAAATCAGATACTCTAGAAAATGCGGTTCAGTAAACTAAAAGTACATTGAAAATTTTGATTTCGGTCAGGTCCACCATTTGGCTGCCGCAGGACTACGAAAGTAGCTATTAAAAAAAGATTAAAGACTGTGGACGTTGGGAAATAAAACACAGTAAAATTTATTTGAATTAAACGAAAAAGAAAGACAACGTACTTTTTATGATTGTCTTGATTTATTTAGAAGTAAACTTATAATACGAAATACGTATATGTTACAGTAGGAAATGTCCTAACAGATTGTAGGAAACAGTAGTTATCACAAAATAATTGAAAGTGGTTATTTACAAGATAAGACTTACTAAAACAGTTTCAGCCGTGTTCGGCACTGAAGCTATTGACTTTGGTTCCATGCTCTACCCAACTTTTCAACTTCCCTCTAAGCTCTTCTAAACTTTTGGATTTGGCCTTGTTGATTCTTTTGTATTTAACATCTTTCGGTTTAGTGACAGACCTATGATTCAACATGACCCTGTTATATGTGGTCACTTGATTAGAACATTTATTAGTCGATTCCATTGCAGAATCGTCGGTAGATTTAGTCAATTTTGTAGGTCTTTCCGACTCCTGATGACGCATTTCGGTGCATTCGGAAGAACCAAACCCGTACAACAAATCGTCGTTTTTAGGCACAATCCTTTCGTTCTTTTGCGACGCGAATGCGTCTCTTTTTTTATTGACGTCGCTCTTTTTCTCTTGCGATTGACATTCACTACTATCAGCGTCCTCTTCAACGCTGTAAACCGTTTCCAGTATTTCCGGTCTCCTCAAGAAACAGTTGGATCTCCTCGAAGCGTATTTCGAAGATGGGTCAAAAGCATCGGAAACCGATCTCATCACTGTTACGGAATCATAATTTGTTGTTCTTAATTTTGGTATACTGGTAAAAGTACAATCGGAGTCCATGTCTTCGAGTACCACGGCGCTGTCCGAATCGTTCAATGATTCCAAATCTAAACGGTTTTGTTCGAAGTCAATTTGGGAACAGTCCAGACCGTTCTCGATCAATCTACCGGTTAGATTTTCAATTATTTTTTGCTGATGATGAATAATGTTTTCGCGGTGCGTTAGGAGGAGAGAGATATCCTTTTGTTTTCGGAGGAGACGTGATTCAAATAATAAAAGCTTGGAAGACAGAAGCTTCAACTGATCCGCTTTCTCGCGTTGCAACCGAGCCAACACGCAGTCCTGAAATAAAAACAACAAACCAATGCAATTATATGTAAATAGGTAACATTTTTTGATGGCATAAATAAAAAAACCGGTCAAAAGTGCGAGTTAGACTCACGCAGCGAGGGTTCTATACAAACGTCTCTAAGGCTTTTTCCGAGTACAATACTGTTCTGACGATTCAAGACAACATCAGTTCACCTACTGGCCTCTGGGACGTTCAAAATTAGCACAGAATTGAGATGACCATTATCATGAGCTTTTCTGATAGTATTTAAAACAGGATTACTCATGTTTGAAAGATAAAATGTAAAATGCATACATGAAAATGTAATCTTTACGATGGTTGCATCAGAGTTTATGTTAATTTGAATTAAACAAGCTACAGTTGGGACGTTTAAAATTGCCATATCGTAAGCATAGAAGAGAGATGTCAGGTAAGAATTGCAGCGGACACTAACAAGGAAAAAAGACTAATATTGCACCAATTGACGTGTAACAGAAAGAGATGTAGACAAGCAGAATTTTAACAATTTAAGAAAGCAAAGACACTTGTTTAAAGATATAAGTTCAACCGTGCAGTTATAATACCGACCCTGATCTTTTACATACCTACACAACCCCTAACCGCTGCACCGCTTACTATTGTTCGGTTATCTCTTTTTATTTTGTCTGTACTACTCATGAAGCATTTCATAACTTAACAAGGGCGTGTTCAAAATATAGCAAATGTCTGCAGTCCCAAGTGGAAACAAGACAGAAGATCCATATCCATTCTCACAAATAATCTACTGCGAACTATGCCAATTTTGATCGTCTTAACTATATCCATTCTACATTACCTTTAACGCTTTAACTTATGTTTCTTTTGTTAGTTCCACATTACTCAATGTACGATCACCAATAAAAGGTAGTGTACAATAAGAACCTTACTGTTTTTACCTGAGCATTTCTGATATTTTTTTTTTCTTATTTAAAAACAGTAAATGACCCAAATGACAGCTAAAGATGGAGTCCCAGCCCTAGCATCTTGTTATCTAAATCCACCTTTAGTGTTTTCATATATACACAAACTTTAATTCAACTGACTGTGAGTAAAAAAGAAGAAGAAATATAAATAAACCCGATGTTTCAGCAAGTCTGCTTCATTGTGATAAGTATCGACTTTTGCGCGACAAAAGCTAAAATTTATGTGTGGAGTAGCTCGTTATTGTCTACGAATGGTAGCTCTAATAAAGGGCAGCAACTGAAGCACAGAATTACTAACACGCGACATATGAATTTTGATCAATGTTGCTTTTTGTTGCGTTTAGGTTAAAAATAATGTATGAGGCTTATTTATAAAAGAAAAGATATTTCAGTAAAATCAGGACCAGACAAATAAACTATTAATGGAATCACGTACAAATCAAATTTAATTACTATCTACTGTAAGGGCAACGCTAAATTAAAATGAAGTGTCTTTTGAACGGTTTTTTCGATTAGTTAGGCATCTATCACGTTTTTGGNGAACAGCCCACATCCTTAACTATTTGCGAAGAGTAAAGTGTGTATATAAATAATAAAAAACTACACCTTTCCATCAGATTCGCAATTGATCAAATTGATTTCGTATTACTAAATATTTCATTTGCTCCATGAGTTTTGTTTAAAGATATAACAATTGGTGATTTAGCGTTTACAATTTCCATATGTATCCGTCACGAATTTTATTAGTCGTTAACGTGTACCAGAGAAAAAAGTAGAAAAGTGTTTTGTTTTCGAGCATGATAAATAATAATAGCTAACTATTTTCTATTGATTGACAGTATTTTCATCTGGATACTAGACCTAATGGGACCTTTTATTACCACCTCCATTGTGATAAACTATTGGCAATTTTTTACTTCATTGTTAGATAAATAGATCCACAGATTCTGGCGAAATAAAAAAAAAGAAATTGAATAAATATGTTATTTTAGCCTTTGAGCGGATTATTACCAAGTTTTCGTTATTTAACCAATTTATCCTAACTTATGATTTCTGCAGGCATGTCAATCTATTTTAGGTTCATTTAAAGGGATAGCGAATTGAAGACGTGTCTCGACACTAACCAACTCACCATCCTATTAATATAACTTTGAAAGGGGACGGAAGCTTTCTACGCAGGGCAAATTGAGATGAAAACATTTTATTTGATAAATGGTGGAATTCAAATTATCTATTATCTACATCTTCTAAACTGAAATAAAATATCAAAGCCAACAGTCTCTTTCATAACTTATTAACCAATATATTTCTGTGATTTTATTATATAACGAATAAGAGTAACAACGTTTTATTGTTTGTTGTTGCTGAAAAGTGAAGGAAAGCATTTAGTAAGCGTTACATTTGGTCAAAATTTGAAATACACATTGGAAGCTTCTTCTCATAGACTTAGCATAATCTAATTATTTATTTCTTTTTGACGTGACAACGTCTTATAATTCGATGGAGCCCGGCTGCACGCATGAAAAAACATGACTCATGCGTCGTTACCTCGCTCTGAGGCGTTCCATTTAAGGCTTGAAGTGCAAGCGAGAGCGCGGAACGAGCGACAAAGAGGCACAATCGGCCTCCGCGTTCGGCAGCGTTCGACATCTGTCTCTCTCCTACTTGAGTGAGCGATGCGTCCGCGTGGACGCTGCTATACAATAATACATTTCCATTGACCTCCTTCTCTATATCCATACAAAATATCTATCAAACAAATAAAATTAAAATTTTCTTTTGAAAAACGAAACCATTCCATCAGTATTTTCTTATGACGTTGTCACGTTCAACTATCGTCAGTAAACCGACTTTACAGACAACCGATTTTTAATTTTGTGACAATGTAAACATGTATAGAGGTAGTTACACTTTCAATGATCGGTAATTCACTGCATCAATTAAACGATATCATGACCACTTAACAGGTTGTTTTTATTAAGAACAGTTAAGAACAGAACCGTTCTAATAAAACTGTTCTGCGGTTTCAGTATTGAGAATGCTACTTTGGTGGTTTATATCAGATATATCTCATGACAAATATGACAGTTTCAGATCGTCATAAATACATTATATTATTTTGTTTTATTCTAATAATTGCTTGTTTTTTCCAGATTTACTCATTAATCACAAACTGCGACGAAAATGATAATGCTAATCAGGGGAGAATGTTGTAGAGGTACTAAAGCATTACTAAACGGATTAGAAATTTGTGCATTTTATCTGTTTGCTATTTTCAATACGACTAAGATAAAAGCGTAATATGTGAGGTTTGTGAATTTTTATTTTTGCGTTTTGTTAACGCGACGAACGTATGATGAAGATACCGTGGATAGAGAAGGTTAGAAATGAGAAGGTATTAGAAAGAATAAGAGAATAGAGAACTGTATGGAAATCAATAAGAAATAGGCGCGATAGATTGGTAGGACACCTTCTCAGGAATGAAGGGCTAAGCACATTAGAAGCAGAAACAGGAGTTAAGAAGAGTAGAGGTAGACCTACGGTAGATTACTGCTAGCAAATTGTTAAGGACGTGGGATATTCAAGTTTTAGAGAAATGTGAAGATTAGCTCAGGATAGGAAAGGGTGGAGGTACCTACGTGTCCAACGAGTCTTAGGACTGGCGACCTTATGATGATGATTCTTTCCAAAAACGGTTTTACACATTTTCACGAAATTTGGTAAAACTTTATACATCTCTCTCTCCCTTTCTATCTTCGTGTTCGTTATAACCGACTTCAACTGTATTTTTATGTCTTTGTAATTAAGTTTTGTTTAACACGACGAGCGAAGATAAATATGTACTTACATCAGTTCTGGCGTCTCGACTAATGTAAGTCAATATTGGCATAATTATCAAGTGACGAGGATACGCAAGGTTTCTGGTTTCTGGAATGTAATTCAACCGTACAAGTTAATAATACCACACGCATTTCTACATTTCACGGCGTGTCACTTCGTGTGTTAGGTGCCCCTTAAGATATACGTCCTTTACCACATCTCGGGTTTCATAAATTTTAATTTAAATTTATGCCATCATCCAAACGGGGATGTTCTTAAGCTAAAGCTAAAGACTGTCTCTCATTCGTCGACAATATTCCGACTCTTTAAATAATTCAAACTTCACTCATGCCGATTCAGTAGGGCCTTGTGCCGCATGTCTTGAATATGATAGATACGCAATATTTACTTTAATAATGCTATTTTTATTGTAACTCCTAAAGCCAAGGTTTTCGCGGCCGGTGTTATCAGAATAATGTTCAATATTCAGACTAGATGTGACACATTTCAAGGAAGGAATTTACGTTAAATTAAGGTCGAATATTGAGCAAGTAACGTTTTGGGCAAATGGTGCGTAAATTACTTCGTAGTTTTTTGTTCCCATCAGTTCCTGTCGTCAGTCCTAAGACTGGTTGTACGTACCTCCCTGTCTCTACCCCTACTAGCTCCTGTTTCTGCCTCTAATACGTCTTTGACTAGACCTTCATGCCTGAGAAGGTGTCCTACCAACCTATCTCGCCTATTTTTTATTAACTTCCATAGAGTCTTCGGCTCTCCTATTCTTTCTAATACCTTATCATTCCTAACCTTCTCTATCCACGATATCCTCATCATTCGCCTGTAACACCACATTTCGAACGCTTCTAACCTTTTGTTTTCCGCAGCGCCATATTTCGCACCCGTACAGCACCGCGCTCCAAACATATACCTTTAACAATCTCTATCGAATTTCTAAATTAACCGTTTGCGAGCATAGAAGTGACTTCTTAGTGATGACGACTCGACCCTGAGCTATCCTCTGCTTTATAACCCTACTACTCCTCCCGTTCTTACTCATCTGACTTCCCAGATACCTAAAATGCGGCCATTTCTTCTAATTTTTCGTCTCCTATCTTTATATTCGCTCTTTTCCTACTTTTTCTTCCGTTGCATACCAGTAGTAACTGTACATTGTCATTACCTAGACGAATAATAATGTGAAGTAATAGTTTAAATAGTTTACCTGGAAT